ATCTGTCTGGTGTAAGACAAGGTAACACACACTGGTTTATGTGTGGATACATCTGTCTGGTGTAAGACAAGGTAACACACACTGGTCTATGTGTGGATACATCTGTCTGGTGTAAGACAAGGTAACACACACTGGTCTATGTGTGGATACATCTGTCTGGTGTAAGACAAGGTAACACACACTGGTCTATGTGTGGATACATCTGTCTGGTGTAAGACAAGGTAACACACACTGGTTCTATGTGTGTGATACATCTGTCTGGTGTAAGACAAGGTAACACACACTGGTCTATGTGTGGATACATCACACTGTCTGGTGTAAGACAAACACACACTGGTAACACACTCTGGTGTAAGACAAGGTAACACACACTGGTTGATGTGTGGATACATCTGTCTGGTGTAAGACAAGGTAACACACACTGGTCTATGTGTGGATACATCTGTCTGGTGTAAGACAAGGTAACACACACTGGTCTATGTGTGGATACATCTGTCTGGTGTAAGACAAGGTAACACACACTGGTCTATGTGTGGATACATCTGTCTGGTGTAAGACAAGGGTAACACACACACACTGGTTTATGTGTGGATACATCTGTCTGGTGTAAGACAAGGTAACACACACTGGTCTATGTGTGGATACATCTGTCTGGTGTAAGACAAGGTAACACACACTGGTTTATGTGTGGATACATCTGTCTGGTGTAAGACAAGGTAACACACACTGGTCTATGTGTGGATACATCTGTCTGGTGTAAGACAAGGTAACACACACTGGTCTACACTGGTCTATGTGTGGATACATCTGTCTGGTGTAAGACAAGGTAACACACACTGGTCTATGTGTGGATACATCTGTCTGGTGTAAGACAAGGTAACACACACTGGTCTATGTGTGGATACATCTGTCTGGTGTAAGACAAGGTAACACACACTGGTCTATGTGTGGATACATCTGTCTGGTGTAAGACAAGGTAACACACACTGGTCTATGTGTGGATACATCTGTCTGGTGTAAGACAAGGTAACACACACTGGTTGATGTGTGGATACATCTGTCTAGTGTAAGACAAGGTAACACACACTGGTCTATGTGTGGATACATCTGTCTGGTGTAAGACAAGGTAACACACACTGGTTTATGTGTGGATACATCTGTCTGGTGTAAGACAAGGTAACACACACTGGTCTATGTGTGGATACATCTGTCTGGTGTAAGACAAGGTAACACACTGGTTTATGTGTGGATACATCTGTCTGGTGTAAGACAAGGTAACACACACTGGTCTATGTGTGGATACATCTGTCTGGTGTAAGACAAGGTAAACATCTGTCTGGTGTAAGACACACTGGTCTATGTGTGGATACATCTGTAACACACACTGGTCTATGTGTGGATACATCTGTCTGGTGTGGATAAGACAAGGTAACACACACTGGTCTTATGTGTGGATACATCTGTCACACACTGGTGTAAGACAAGGTAACACACACTGGTTTATGTGTGGATACATCTGTCTGGTGTAAGACAAGGTAACACACACTGGTTTATGTGTGGATACATCTGTCTGGTGTAAGACAAGGTAACACACACTGGTTTATGTGTGGATACATCTGTCTGGTGTAAGACATGGTAACACACACTGGTCTATGTGTGGATACATCTGTCTGGTGTAAGACAAGGTAACACACACTGGTTTATGTGTGGATACATCTGTCTGGTGTAAGACAAGGTAACACACACTGGTGTGGATATGTGTGGATACACACACTCTGTGTGGATGTGTAAGACACACACTGGTCTATGTGTGGATACATCTGTCTGGTGTCAGACAAGGTAACACACACTGGTCTATGTGTGGATACATCTGTCTGGTGTAAGACAAGGTAACACACACTGGTCTATGTGTGGATACATCTGTCTGGTGTAAGACAAGGTAACACACACTGGTCTATGTGTGTATACATCTGTCTGGTGTAAGACAAGGTAACACACACTGGTCTATGTGTGGATACATCTGTCTGGTGTAAGACAGGGTAACACACACTGGTCTATGTGTGGATACATCTGTCTGGTGTAAGACAACACACTGGTAACACACACACACACTGGTCTATGTGTGGATACATCTGATAACACACACTGGTTTATGTGTGGATACATCTGTCTGGTGTAAGACAAGGTAACACACACTGGTCTATGTGTGGATACATCTGTCTGTCTGTGTAAGACAAGGTAACACACACACACACTGGTTTATGTGTGGATACATCTGTCTGGTGTAAGACAAGGTAACACACACTGGTCTATGTGTGGATACATCTGTCTGGTGTAAGACAAGGTAACACACACTGGTCTATGTGTGGATACATCTGTCTGGTGTAAGACAAGGTAACACACACTGGTCTATGTGTGGATACATCTGTCTGGTGTAAGACAAGGTAACACACTGGTCTATGTGTGGATACATCTGTCTGTTGTAAGACAAGGTAACACACACTGGTCTATGTGTGGATACATCTAACACACACTGGTTATGTGTGGTGTAAGACAAGGTATGGTCTATGTGTGGATACATCTGTCTGGTGTAAGACAAGGTAACACACACTGGTCTATGTGTGGATACATCTGTCTGGTGTAAGACAAGGTAACACACACTGGTTTATGTGTGGATACATCTGTCTGGTGTAAGACAAGGTAACACACACTGGTCTATGTGTGGATACATCTGTCTGGTGTAAGACAAGGTAACACACACTGGTTTATGTGTGGATACATCTGTCTGGTGTAAGACAAGGTAACACACACTGGTTTATGTGTGGATACATCTGTCTGGTGTAAGACAAGGTAACACACACTGGTCATGTGTGGATACATCTGTCTGGTGTAAGACAAGTTAACACACTGGTCTATGTGTGGATACATCTGTCTGGTGTAAGACAAGGTAACACACACTGGTCTATGTGTGGATACATGTGTCTGGTGTAAGACAAGGTAACACACACTGGTCTATGTGTGGATACATCTGTCTGGTGTAAGACAAGGTAACACACACTGGTTTATGTGTGGATACATCTGGTGTAAGACTGGTGTGTGGATACACTGAAGACAGGTAACACACACTGGTCTATGTACCTTGACATTTGATCAGTGAACATGCTAGCAAATGACTGTTATTTAATCACTTACAACAGCAGCCAAATGAGATTTCATTAACAGCTGATGGAGTAAAATCCAAATACAGACAAATACTGACGCCAGAGTGATATATAATTTATAACAGTCAGTGATATATAATTTATAACAGTCAGAGTGATATATAATTTATATATATAATGTTTAACAGTCAGAGTGATATATATAATTTATAACAGTCAGTGATATATAATTTATAACAGTCAGTGATATATAATTTATAACAGTCAGTGATATATAATTTATAACAGTCAGTGATATATAATTTATAACAGTCAGTGATATATAATTTATAACAGTCAGAGTGATATATAATTTATAACAGTCAGAGTGATATATAATTCATAACAGTCAGTGATATATAATGTTTAACAGTCAGTGATATATAATTTATAACAGTCAGTGATATATAATGTTTAACAGTCAGTGATATATAATTTATAACAGTCAGTGATATATAATGTTTAACAGTCAGTGATATATAATTTATAACAGTCAGAGATATATAATGTTTAACAGTCAGAGTGATATATAATTTATAACAGCCAGTGATATATAATTTATAACAGTCAGTGATATGTTATTTATAACAGTCAGAGTGATATATAATTTATAACAGTCAGTGATATATTTATAACAGCCAGTGATATATAATTTATAACAGTCAGAGTGATATATAATTTATAACAGCCAGAGAGATATATAATTTATAACAGCCAGAGAGATATATAATTTATAACAGTCAGTGATATATAATTTATAACAGTCAGTGATATATAATTTATAACAGCCAGAGAGATATATAATTTATAACTGTCAGTGATATATAATTAATAACAGTCAGTGATATATAATTTATAACAGTCAGTGATATATAATTTATAACAGTCAGTGATATATAATTTATAACAGCCAGAGAGATATATATATAATTATAACAGTCAGTGATATATAATTTATAACAGTCAGTGATATATAATTTATAACAGTCAGTGATATATAATTTATAACAGTCAGTGATATATAATTTATAACAGTCAGTGATATATAATTTATAACAGCCAGTGATATATAATTTATAACAGCCAGTGATATATAATTTATAACAGTCAGTGATATATAATTTATAACAGCCAGTGATATATAATTGATCCTTTTGAACAGAACACAACATTGTAGTGAAACATTGGGGAGTTATCTCCCCTGGTTAGGACTCACGACCAACATTTAGTGCCAAACCAGTCTCTCGACTCCTAATAAATGAACTGAACAGACATGAGTGAAAACCACAGCACCACTTATTTAGTCAAGAGTACGGAGGACCTAGATTTCTAATTTTAATTTGTTTATGAAACTCATCACATGATAAATGATTTGTGTAAATGATATTAAGGATGTATGAAAGTAGTGTATGACTGGAAGTAGGACATAATTCAATATGAAATACATTCCAATATGATATAGGAGATACTTTTTATATACCTAAGTTACCTTTAATTGTTTTTATGTTTTGTCGAGATTTTGCTTGTGGACTAAAAGTTGTGACGATATATTGAAATTCATGTCACAGTCTGATTGACAGACAACAATTTTACTATTTTTCTCTTGCTAAGGCACTTCTGTGTGTTATTCTAGAGGTCTTTCAATGAAATTTTGTACGGATTAACATAACAGACTACAATACATATGACCTGTCTACATCAAACACTTTCTAATGTTTACGGCAATAGAAACATCGGGTTTCTCTATGGATTTTGGAAAAAAAGGACTTTTGAGTGAAAATTCTTAAATCATTAAAAAAATTATTCCCTTGTGTTTCTCAGACAAGAAAGTCTCTAAAAAGTTAATATCAGACCATGATCAAATACTGAATTTAAACTTTTTCACAAGACATTGATGTTTTTGGTTTTTTATATGTTGATAAATGTAAAAATTGAAATTGTGTTGTTTGACATTCTCTACCAATGACACTTTGTGCTATCAAGGAATGTCTCAAGCCTCTTGTATGTTTAATACACTAAAATCTAAACAAGATGTGTTTATGAAAACCTATGTCACCCCTTGCAACAAAAACAAAAGGTCTTGTCACAAGGAATGCACATGCCAAATATGAAAGCCCTACATGTTACAGTGTAATGGTTATGGCCAATTATTCAAATGAAGGTCAAAGGTCACAGTCAAGGTCACATGGTCAAATATGTAAATTATGGCTTCCATAGTGACAACATAATGTAGTTCTACATTTATGGTTTCCATAATGACAACATAATGTAATTCTACATTTATGGTTTCCATAGTGACAACATAATGTAGTTCTAGATCTAATGTTTCCATAGTGACAACATAATGTAGTTTTACATCTAATTTTTCCATAGTGATGTGATTATTTATACCTACATGTATCAATGCGACAATCACATAATAAACATGATTATGTGACCTTACCTTTAAAACATCCGTTTTATTCAGCAGTATTCGTGGGACCCTTGTCATGACATTCCTTGTCTGGTTACCTGTATCAACATTCATGTGTAAAGCCATCATGATGACGGTAAACTCAACAAGGGAAACTAACATCTTCAAACTGTCAGTATATATTGCTGATACATTTACATAGGATCTGAGGGATTAGGAATTCATGAAAAAGGATTTAATTCAATAAACTTGAAATATTCTTAGTGTCCTAAAACCAATCATTGTTGATCGATAGAACAGCACCATTGCATTATAGGGTAATTTGTATGCACCCCACATCGGTTTAAGGCAGATCTACTAAAAAAACTGTTTGTATACTCACCAGTAAGATCAAAGTAGTTTTGGTATACACCAATTCTTGTGTCAATTGTTACGGCTTTTAGTCCAAGAATGTTTGGTGCTCCAGCAACCATCTTTGCGATGGAATCCTTCTTGAATTTCTTGTATTTAAAAAATTCCATCACCAACTGTAAATAATATGACATGAGAATGACAATACGTAAACCTGAAATGTTCTGATGTTTCACTTTCTTTTATTGATTGCAGCTCAATGCAGCATATGTTTGAATGAAGACGCACTCTGGGGTCATATATTTCCTACACTTTTTATAGTGTCAAAGTTTTGATGTTCATTGAATCAAGGCTGATATATGAAAGTTGATGTCAGAATAACGTGGATTAATTGTATATAACTGATAGTGATGTAACCCCGGTAAATATTAGCAGCAGTAAACCACTCGACTAGAGAGAACCCCGGTAAATATTAGCAGCAGTAAACCACTCGACTAGAGAGAACCCCAGTAAATATTAGCAGCAGTAAACCACTCAACTAGACAGAACCCTGGTAAATATTAGCAGCAGTAAACCACTCGACTAGACAGAACCCTGGTAAATATTAGCAGCAGTAAACCACTCGACTAGACAGAACCCTGGTAAATATTAGCAGCAGTAAACTACTTAGCTAGAGAGAACCCTGGTAAATATTAGCAGCAATAAACCACTCGACTAGACAGAACCCTGGTAAATATTAGCAGCAGTAAACTACTCAGCTAGAGAGAACTCTGGTAAATATTAGCAGCAGTAAACCACTCAGCCAGAGAGAACCCTGGTAAATATTAGCAGCAGTAAACCACTACTAGACAGAACCCTGGTAAATATTAGCAGCAGTAAGCCACTACTAGACAGAACCCTGGTAAATATTAGCAGCAGTAAACCACTCGACTAGACAGAACCCTGGTAAATATTAGCAGCAGTAAACCACTCGACTAGACAGAACCCTGGTAAATATTAGCAGCAGTAAACTACTCAGCTAGAGAGAACCCTGGTAAATATTAGCAGCAGTAAACCACTACTAGACAGAACCCTGGTAAATATTAGCAGCAGTAAACTACTCGGCTAGAGAGAACCCTGGTAAATATTAGCAGCAGTAAACCACTCAACTAGACAGAACCCTGGTAAATATTAGCAGCAGTAAACCACTCGACTAGACAGAACCCTGGTAAATATTAGCAGCAGTAAACCACTCGGACTAGAGAGAACCCTGGTAAATATTAGCAGCAGTAAACTACTCAACTAGACAGAACCCTGGTAAATATTAGCAGCAGTAAACTACTCGGCTAGAGAGAACCCTGGTAAATATTAGCAGCAGTTAACTACTCGACTAGACAGAACCCTGGTAAATATCAGCAGCAAGTAAACCGCTCGACTAGACAGAACCCTGGTAAATATTAGCAGCAGTAAACCACTCGACTAGAGAGAACACCGGTAAATTTTAGCAGCAGTAAACCACTCGACTAGAGAAAACCCAGGTAAATATTAGCAGCAGTAAACTACTCAGGAGAGAACCCTAAATATTAGAGAGTAAACCCTCAACCAGGTAAATATTAGCAGCAGTAAATCACTCGGACTAGAGAGAACACCGGTAAATATTAGCAGCAGTAAACTACTCGGCTAGAGAGAACCCTGGTAAATATTAGCAGCAGTAAACCACTACTAGACAGAACACTAATAAATATTAGCAGCAGTAAACCACTCAGCTAGAGAGAACACCGGTAAATGTTAGCAGCAGTAAACCACTCGGCTAGAGAGAACCCAGGTAAATATTAGCAGCAGTAAACCACTCGACTAGACAGAACACCGGTAAATATTAGCAGCAGTAAACCACTCAGATAGACAGAACCCTGGTAAATATTAGCAGCAGTAAACCACTACTAGACAGAACCCTGGTAAATATTAGCAGCAGTAAACCACTCGACTAGACAGAACCCTGGTAAATATTAGCAGCAGTAAACTACTCAGCCAGAGAGAACCCTGGTAAATATTAGCAGCAGTAAACCACTCAGCCAGAGAGAACCCTGGTAAATATTAGCAGCAGTAAACTACTCAGCCAGAGAGAACCCTGGTAAATATTAGCAGCAGTAAACCACTCGGCTAGAGAGAACCCTGGTAAATATTAGCAGCAGTAAACCACTACTAGACAGAACCCTGATAAATATTAGCAGCAGTAAACCACTCAGCTAGAGAGAACACCGATAAATGTTAGCAGCAGTAAACCACTCGGCTAGAGAGAACCCAGGTAAATATTAGCAGCAGTAAATCACTCGACTAGAGAGAACACCGGTAAATATTAGCAGCAGTAAACCACTCAGATAGACAGAACCCTGGTAAATATTAGCAGCAGTAAACCACTACTAGACAGAACCCTGGTAAATATTAGCAGCAGTAAACCACTCGACTAGACAGAACCCTGGTAAATATTAGCAGCAGTAAACTACTCAGCCAGAGAGAACCCTGGTAAATATTAGCAGCAGTAAACCACTCAGCCAGAGAGAACCCTGGTAAATATTAGCAGCAGTAAACTACTCAGCCAGAGAGAACCCTGGTAAATATTAGCAGCAGTAAACCACTCAGATAGACAGAACCCTGGTAAATATTAGCAGCAGTAAACCACTACTAGACAGAACCCTGGTAAATATTAGCAGCAGTAAACCACTCGACTAGACAGAACCCTGGTAAATATTAGCAGCAGTAAACTACTCAGCCAGAGAGAACCCTGGTAAATATTAGCAGCAGTAAACCACTCAGCCAGAGAGAACCCTGGTAAATATTAGCAGCAGTAAACTACTCAGCCAGAGAGAACCCTGGTAAATATTAGCAGCAGTAAACCACTCGGCTAGAGAGAACCCTGGTAAATATTAGCAGCAGTAAACCACTTGGCTAGACAGAACCAAGGTAAATATTAGCAGCAGTAAACCACTCGGCTAGAGAGAACCCTGGTAAATATTAGCAGCAGTAAACCACTTGACTAGACAGAACCAAGGTAAATATTAGCAGCAGTAAACCACTCGGCTAGAGAGAACCCTGGTAAATATTAGCAGCAGTAAACCACTTGACTAGACAGAACCAAGGTAAATATTAGCAGCAGTAAACCACTCGGCTAGAGAGAACCCTGGTAAATATTAGCAGCAGTAAACCACTACTAGACAGAACCCTGGTAAATATTAGCAGCAGTAAACCACTACTAGACAGAACCCTGGTAAATATTAGCAGCAGTAAACCACTACTAGACAGAACCCTGGTAAATATTAGCAGCAGTAAACCGCTCGACTAGACAGAACCCTGGTAAATATTAGCAGCAGTAAACCACTACTAGACAGAACCCTGGTAAATATTAGCAGCAGTAAACCACTACTAGACAGAACCCTGGTAAATATTAGCAGCAGTAAACCACTTGGCTAGACAGAACCCTGGTAAATATTAGCAGCAGTAAACTACTCGGCTAGAGAGAACCCTGGTAAATATTAGCAGCAGTAAACCACTCGGCTAGACAGAACCCTGGTAAATATTAGCAGCAGTAAACCACTCGGCTAGAGAGAACCCTGGTAAATATTAGCAGCAGTAAACCACTTGGCTAGACAGAACCAAGGTAAATATTAGCAGCAGTAAACCACTTGGCTAGACAGAACCAAGGTAAATATTAGCAGCAGTAAACCACTTGGCTAGACAGAACCCTGGTAAATATTAGCAGCAGTAAACTACTCGGCTAGAGAGAACCCTGGTAAATATTAGCAGCAGTAAACCACTCGGCTAGAGAGAACCCTGGTAAATATTAGCAGCAGTAAACCACTACTAGACAGAACCCAGGTAAATATTAGCAGCAGTAAACCACTAGAGAGAACTTCTCTTTAGCACAATTGAATGGTTGTGCATTTGACAAGTTAGCCAGCCCTCTCAAGTTTGAATTGTAGCAGAGGCATTTAAAAAAATAACAAACTCTTTTATACAGGCTCCCATGTAGGGACGGAGGAGTAATAGCCTTGAACCAAAAGCATGGCTGTAACCCCTTGAAACTGGAGGACAAGCTCTTTCCTGTAGGGGGAGTATGTATTCCTATTAACCGCAATACATCACAGGTACAGGAGATCTATTTCTCAATATTTTTAAGAATAGAACAAATATTGCGAAAAATGGATACAGTGAAAAATGACCCATAGCATGACTTGTTGAAAAACATATCCAACAGTAAAATCTTAAATAATAACTATCAAAAGACAACAACAACAACAACGACAACGACAACGACTAAAACCAAAATAAACCCATAAACAATATTTGATTGTACTAGGTGTAAAGATTCCTACCAAATATTGTCAACAAAATGTTAGAATCTGTTTTAAACTGTGAAGTAATCACACAAGCCGTTTCCCACTCAAAATGGTTCGAGGATGACTATTGTCAAGTGGAAGAAAATCATACATGACATACAAATACTTCTGTAACAGTACAGGTGTAAAAAACTATTTGTCTATGTTGTAATAGTACAGGTGTAAAAGACTATATGTCTATGTTGTAATAGTATAGGTGTAAAAGACTATTTGTCTATGTTGTATTAGTATAGGTGTAAAAGACTATTTGTCTATGTTGTAACAGTACAGGTGTAAAAGACTATTTGTCTATGTTGTAACAGTACAGGTGTAAAAGACTATTTGTCTATGTTGTAACAGTACAGGTGTAAAAGACTATTTGTCTATGTTGTAACAGTATAGGTGTAAAAGAGTATTTGTCTATGTTGTAACAGTACAGGTGTAAAAGACTATTTGTCTATGTTGTATTAGTATAGGTGTAAAAGACTATTTGTCTATGTTGTAACAGTACAGGTGTAAAAGACTATTTGTCTATGTTGTAACAGTACAGGTGTAAAAGACTATTTGTCTATGTTGTAACAGTACAGGTGTAAAAGACTATTTGTCTATGTTGTAACAGTATAGGTGTAAAAGAGTATTTGTCTATGTTGTAACAGTACAGGTGTAAAAGACTATTTGTCTATGTTGTAACAGTACAGGTGTAAAAGACTATTTGTCTATATTGTAACAGTACAGGTGTAAAAGACTATTTGTCTATGTTGTAACAGTACAGGTGTAAAAGACTATTTATCTTTGTTGTAATAGTACAGGTGTAAAAGACTATTTGTCTATGTTGTAATAGTACAGGTGTAAAAGACTATTTATCTTTGTTGTAACATTACAGGTGTAAAAGACTATTTGTCTATGTTGTAATAGTACAGGTGTAAAAGACTATTTGTCTATGTTGTAATAGTACAGGTGTAAAAGACTATTTATCTTTGTTGTAACATTACAGGTGTAAAAGACTATTTGTCTATGTTGTAATAGTACAGGTGTAAAACAGTATTTGTTTTTGTTGCAATAGTACAGGTGTACAACAGTATTTGTCTCTGTTGTAATAGTACAGGTGTACAACAGTATTTATCTTTGTTGTAATAGTACAGATGTACAACAGTATTTATCTTTGTTGTAATAGTACAGGTGTACAACAGTATTTATCTTTGTTGTGTTTACCTTTGCATCATCAAAATACTCAAATATGAAAGGATAGCAACCAATGATTTTTCCAAATTTGACATCGGGTATCCCAGCTTCCTTCAGGTATACCATCACAGGCATCACATCCTGCTCCAGGTTTAGCTTCACAAGGCTATTTGAAGCATGTTGTATTGTTTCCACCTTTCCAAGATTCACATTCAATTGCACCAGATACTTAAGTACATCCGACTTTGGCACAAAAGGTGCCAAATTATAGGAATCAATAATAAATGGAGAAGCTGGCAGTGGACTCTTCAGAAGGTCACTATACTGATCTGTATAACTGTCTAGAGGTTTGGTGTTGTCTGGAGAAGCTGGCAGTGGACTCTTCAGAAGGTCACTATACTGATCTGTATAACTGTCTAGAGGTTCAGTGTTGTCTGGAGAAGCTGGCAGTGGACTCTTCAGAAGGTCACTATACTGATCTGTATAACTGTCTAGAGGTTTGGTGTTGTCTGGAGAAGCTGGCAGTGGACTCTTCAGAAGGTCACTATACTGATCTGTATAACTGTCTAGAGGTTCAGTGTTGTCTGGAGAAGCTGGCAGTGGACTCTTCAGAAGGTCACTATACTGATCTGTATTACAGTTTGGACTGTTGTCACCATCATTCACAGCTGTTAAAAGGTCACATTCATTAACAAAAGGTTTAACACTCCCACGATGACCCTTGACCTCTGCTTCCTCTCCAATCTTGTCTTTATTAACTCTGAACTCACTAGTACAGAAATGTCTCAAATTAACAAAAAATATGGAATTATATTTAAAGGTAGTTTGTGATAGGTTATTGAAACATAACACAGATGTTTTTTGTTTTTCTAGAATTGACAGCCTTATAGATTTAACAATATCAACTCTACCGATTCTGATAGTGCATTCAGAGGAAACTTTGTAATGCTGCCATTTTTTATCCTGATGAGCTATATCATTACAAGAGAATCTGATCATGTTGTCATCCAAAGGTGTGTGCAGCTGATTTTCTTTTGGAGGAAAAGGTTTGATGTTAATGGATCTCTCCCAACAAAAATGACAAATCCTGACATAAGTGTTGAAACTCCTGTACATCTTTCTAAATCTGCCATCCAGTCGATAGGAGGGTCTGTAGGCTGCCATGTCTGGAGAGAGCAAAGCCTCTATTAGATTACCTGAAAGTATCAACATTTATGCATGTTCATTAAAGCATCAAAACATTTAGGATCCTATACAGATGGGAATGTTAGACCAGAAATATGCCTGTTTAACATGAATGTTTCAACTTCCATGCAGTTATATGAAAGTGTATGATTAGAAATTGTCAATAGGTTCAAAACTTATCAAATGTGATCCTTTGACCCTCTTTACTATCAGTGGAAAGTCACATTTACTGTCAGCTAAAAGTCACGTTTACTGTCAGCTAAAAGTCATGTTTACTGTCAGCCAAAGTCACATTTACTGTCAGCCAAAAGTCATGTTTACTGTCAGCCAAAGTCACATTTACTGTCAGCTAAAAGTCATGTTTACTGTCAGCTAAAAGTCATGTTTACTGTCAGCCAAAGTCACGTTTACTGTCGGCTAAAGTCACATTTACTGTCGGCCAAAGTCACATTTACTGTCGGCTAAAGTCACATTTACTGTCAGCTAAAAGTCATGTTTACTGTCAGTTAAAAGTTATGTTTACTGTCAGCCAAAGTCACATTTACTGTCAGCCTAAGTCACATTTACTGTCAGCTTAAAGTCATGTTTACTGTCGGCTAAAGTAACATTTACTGTCGGCTAAAGTCACGTTTACTGTTGACTAAAAGTCATATTTACTGTCAGCTAAAGTCACATTTACTGTCAGCTAAAGTCACATTTACTGTCGGTTAAAGTCACATTTACTGTCAGCTAAAGTCACATTTACTGTCAGCTTAAGTCACATTTACTGTCAGCTTAAAGTCACGTTTACTGTCAGCTTAAAGTCACATTTACTGCCAGCTAAATCACGTTTACTGTCAGTGGAATGTCACGTTTGCTGTCAGCTTAAAGTCACATTTACTGTTGGCTAAAGTCATGTTTACTGTCAGTGGAATGTCACGTTTACTGTCGGCTAAGTCACATTTACTGTCAGCCAAAGTCACGTTTACTGTCAGCCAAAGTCACCTTTACTGTCGGCTAAAGTCACATTTACTGTCGGCTAAAGTCACATGTACTGTCGGCCAAAGTCACATTTACTGTCAGCTTAAAGTCACTTTTACTGTCAGCTTAAAGTCACGTTTACTGTCGGCAAAAGTCATGTTAACTGTCGGCTAAAGTCACGTTTACTGTCAGCCAAAGTCACATTTACTGTCAGCTAAAAGTCATGTTTACTGTCCGCTAAAGCCACGTTTACTGTCGGCTAAAGTCACGTTTACTGTTGACTAAAAGCCACGTTTACTGTCGGCTAAAGTCACATTTACTGTCAGCCAAAGTCACATTTACTGTCAGCTAAAGTCACATTTACTGTCGGCTAAAAGTCATGTTTACTGTCGACTAAAGTCACATTTACTGTCAGCTTAAAGTCACGTTTACTGTCAGCTTAAAGTCACATTTACTGTCGGTTAAAGTCACGTTTACTGTCAGTGGAATGTCACGTTTACTGTTGGCTAAAGTCACATTTACTGTCAGCTAAAGTCACGTTTACTGTCGGCAAAAGTCATGTTAACTGTCGGCTAAAGTCACGTTTACTGTCAGCCAAAGTCACATTTACTGTCAGCTAAAAGTCATGTTTACTGTCGGCTAAAGCCACGTTTACTGTCGGCTAAAGTCACGTTTACTGTTGACCAAAGTCACATTTACTGTCAGCTAAAGTCACATTTACTGTCGGCTAAAAGTCATGTTTACTGTCGTCTAAAGTCACATTTACTGTCAGCTTAAAGTCACGTTTACTGTCAGCTTAAAGTCACATTTACTGTCGGCTAAAGTCACATTTACTGTCAGCTAAAGTCACATTTACTGTCAGCCAAAGTCACATTTACTGTCGGCTAAAGTCACGTTTAGTGTCGACTAAAGTCACGTTTAGTGTCGACTAAAGTCACGTTTACTGCCAGTGGAATGTCACACAGGGTCATATAAAGATATGTATTCCTGACCTTGATCTTCATTTTTTCACAAGTCATTCGGAATATACATCTTAGGAGCTTTCATCACATGCACCTGTGGTTAACAGTATAAGACTGAAGACCGAAGTTATAAACAGACAAATACATATAATATGCGACATTATTTCGAGCAATGGTGGACATGATCTCAAGGAATAAGAATCCAAAGTCAGTGCAACAAACAATATCAGTGATATGATCGACTTGTTGATTATTTGTAATAGGTCTAGTCAACAAATATATATACCTTTAACTCATTGTACTTTGTCATTCAGCAGTTCAGAGAAGCACGCATCAGACACACGTGTGTAGCGTTTGACAGATTTTTTTGTTTAGTCAAAAGAGTTCTTTGAAGGGCAAATAACTCGTTCGTTGAAGGTCTACATTTAAAAAATATAATTTAACGTCATCACGAATTATATCTGTTGTGGCATGCATAGAGTTCTTATTAGTTTAAAATGAAACGCTATACATATCTTTCAATTGGTCAGGCAATGTTGTTCATTCCTATTTTTAACCCCTTTACCGCTAAACAAGGTAGACAACTCGAGGTCTGTGAAGGCAGTAGTGGTTGAAGGTATCACTCGTGACAAGTAATGTACAGAGCATACGTAGAGGCGTTAAGAATGACTTCTACCAAAACATCATCGAATCTGAAAATTGTTATGTTTGTCGGGTCGGCAAGGGATGGAAGACTTGGAGAAAGAGTGAAGCAGTTTATGGTGAAGCAACTGGAATCCAGACAATATGATATTAGTGTTATTGGTAAGTTGGGTCTGTCGGATTAGAGGATACGTTAATTAGAACTTGTGGTTTTACACTACTGATGCTGATCATAATCTTAAGCCATTTCATATAATATTATGAATTATAGACCAAGATAACCTAGAATTTCGATTCTCTTGTGCCGTAAGTTAAATCTTTTAACGGTAAACATAGTTTCCTTTTCTATACAAGGTGACAAGGCTTTGGTGATAGGCCGGGTGAATATGTAGAATGATGTGCAGCAATGCATATGTAGGCCTAGTATACGTATGTAAACACTCTGTTTAAATTGCAGACCGAACATGATTACATTTAGGTGATTTATTTACATGACTATCTTAGACCTAGATATGAAAAATGTTTTTTTTTTTTTTAAATTTTTGTAGATGTAGTGCTTTGAATGTTTACAGTATATAGAACCAGTAAGCCTGTTGCTCCTGACGTGCACGTTAGGGTCAGTTCGTGGCTCCAGGCGTGCACGTTAGGGCCAGTTCGTGAATCCTGACATGCATATTAGGACCAATTCGTGCCTCCTGACATGCAAGTTGGGGCCAGTTTGTGCCTCCAGACATGCACGTTAGTTCCAGTTCATGCCTCCTGACATGCAAGTTGGGGCCATGTAGAATAAGGACGGGTGATTAAATAGAATGCCTAATTATTGTTGTTTACACAAAGGCTTGTTCATATGATACCAATGTAACAGGTGACAATGTAGAACATGCAAAATTCATTCCACATGTATATATATGTAACAAGTCTTTTATTGAAAAATGCCTGTGATGCGATTCAAACACCCAGGATATTTGGCTAAACCTAGTATTATGCTCAACCGATTCCAATCAAGCAAAAATAAAAAAAATCTCTCTTGTTGAGTGGCTAGTATCACATTTACCATGGTTTCAAATATACCAAAATGCTGATGCACAGGTGCTAAATACAGATACGTTACATGATATATAGTGACTTTTGTAGGAGTCTAGTACATTTGGCACTGTGAAAGTTACTGATATCTGTGTTGTATATTCCAGGATTAGAAGAATCTGGTGTAGCCCAGTTTTGTACCAAATTATCACAAGTGCACCATAAGATCTGTTTCTAGTTATGCACTAATTACCATCAAAGGAGGTCATTTCATAGGTTTTTCCCAGACTTTCACTATCATGGAATCCGATCTTAAGCAGCCTGTGTTTTATAGGTGCCACTGACTGTAGCTATCTTTCGTTAGTTAAGATGTTGTATTTTATTTCAGAAATAAAAGTCATGATACTCGCCATCTGTCATGATGAATTACGCTCTGTGGGAGAAAAAATTATTGAAGATATATATTCGTTTATTTTAAACTGTCAAGATAAAATAAAGAGAACATCAATGTTCTTTATTGATGTACATACAAACATCAATGATGTTTATTGATGTACATACCAACATCAATGTTGTTTATTGGTGTACACACAAACATCAGTGTTGTTTATTGATGTACATACAAACATCAATGATGTTTATTGATGTACATACAAACATCAATGATGTTTATTGATGTACATACAAACATCAATGATGTTTATTGATGTACATACAGACATCAGTGTTGTTTATTGATGTACACACAACATCAGTGTTGTTTATTGGTGTACATACAGACATCAGTGTTGTTTATTGATGTACACACAAGCATCAATGTTGTTTATTGATGTACATACAAACATCAATGATGTTTATTGATGTACATACAGACATCAGTGTTGTTTATTGATGTACACACAACATCAATGATGTTTATTGGTGTACATACAGACATCAGTGTTGTTTATTGATGTACACACAAACATCAATGATGTTTATTGGTGTACACACAAGCATCAATGTTGTTTATTGATGTACATACAGACATCAGTGTTGTTTATTGATGTACATACAAACATCAGTGTTGTTCATTGATAATCATACCAACATCAATGTTATTAATTGATGCACACACAAACATCAGTGTTGTTTATTGATGAACATACAAACATTAGTGTTGTTTATTGATGTACGTACAAACATCAGTGTTGTTTATTGATGTACACACAAACATCAATGTTGTTTATTGATGTACATACAGACATCAGTGTTGTTCATTGATAATCATACCAACATCAATGTTGTTAATTGATGCACACACAAACATCATTGTTGTTTATTGATAATCATACAAACATCAGTGTTGTTTATTGATGTACATACCAACATCAGTGTTGTTTATTGATGTACACACAAACATCAATGTTGTTAATTGATGCACACACAAACATCAGTGTTGTTTATTGATGTACATACAAACACCAGTGTTGTTTATTGATGTACATATCAACATCAATGTTGTTTATTGATGTACACACAAACACCAGTGTTGTTTATTGATGTACACACAAACATCAATGTTGTTAATTGATGCACACACAAACATCAGTGTTGTTTATTGATAAACATACAAACATTAGTGTTGTTTATTGATGTACACACAAACATCAATGTTGTTCATTGATGTACATACCAACATCAATGTTGTTCATTGATGTACACACAAACATCAGTGTTGTTCATTGATGTACATACCAACATCAGTGTTGTTCATTGATGTACATACCAACATCAGTGTTGTTCATTGATGAACATACAAACATCAGTGTTGTTAATTGATGAACATGTACGGCATTATAGAAATTGTAGAAATATCTCCTTTTCCAACCAGATTCCATTACTACAAGTCTAATTGTCAAAAAGTTAGTTGATTTTTTTGCTTTGTTTCTTATTTCTTTACACCCTATGAACAAGGATGTATCAGGTTTGGATGGTGGAGGAAAGCTGAAGTTCTCAGAGTGAAAACACCTACCTGCGGCCAATAGTTATACTGACTGGCCCACGTTGGTCGTGAACTCCTGACACAGAGGTGGAGACCTTTGATAAAGATGGTCAACTTTGGTTTAACCTTCAGTATGAAGCAGATAATCAATTTCATGACTTGACTTACAGATTGAGGTGTTTGCCAACAGCTTTGAGCAAAATCATCTGAGCATATGTTATTTTGTTTTTCTGTTTGTCAAAATTAATGTTACATTTCAAACATTTTTCTTGCAGATGCAGCCGATAACGAATTTAGTATGCTGAATAAACCAGTGTTTTTTTATGGTAAAGATAGAGAAGGAGCTCCACCATTTCTGGTGGAGAAGGAGAAACTTGTCAAGGAAGCAGATGCTTATGTGATTATCTCCCCTGAATACAACCACTGTATACCACCAGGTCTCTCAAACATGATTGACCATTTTGGAGGCAGTTGTTTCTCCAAGAAACCAAGTGGCCTTGTCACATACTCAGCAGGTAAGTGGTGCATAATTATGAGGGTTTTTTTAGAACTTTTGAATTGACATTTTTTTCCTTTTCTTCGTAATTTAAACAGTTTCAAACTATAGATACCTGTTTCCCACTGATCTCTGTAAAACATGAATGTAGGAATGTATTACAATAGAATTAAGTTGTATTGTAATCTATTCTATTTTTAGTCCACCAGGGGGAGGGATTTTGATGACTATGTCCTTGTTAGACTTTCCATCCTTGCCAAATTTCATCGTTTTTTTTTAAAACAGGGCAATATGGAGGGATGCGTGCAGCCATGCAACTAAGAGCACTGACTGGAGAACTAGGATGTCTCAGCGTGTCCAATATATTTGGTATACCTTCTGCCCAGAAATCTCTAGATTCTGAAGGAAACCCGCTCAATGAACACATGGAATCTGGTGCAAACAAATTGCTTACCCAGTTGGACTGGATGGCATGGGCAATGAAAAATCATCGTGCCGTTTCAAACGTAGACTTTTAATACAGAGTCATGAGGGTTTAGTTTTAGATGATATGCTTTACTTCAAAGAAAATTTGAGGAATTTATATATTTTTGAAAAGAATTAGTTTGGAATAGTGGTGGATCCCAAGGTCATGTAGTTGATTTAGTATGTGTTTATAATCTTCATTATGCAGACCTGTTCTACACCACTAACGTCATTATTTAAGTTTGTGTAGGTGTGGTAGAATCAACTTGCCATTATTTAAGTTTGTGTAGGTGTGGTAGAATCACTATTAGTTGAAATTTTAATTTTATTTTCTATTTTTGTTTCTGTCTTATTACAGTTTTGAAAAAAATATATCAATACCTGGAAAATATCTGCGTACCACACTTCACGAACTTTAGATCTTATCAGTGATATGAGTTGAAAAAGTGTTGATACCTTTATGGTGTCCCACCTAAACTTTAGGTTAGTTCTTAGTTCCATATGAAAAAAAATAAAAGCTTACTGGAAACCATGTATAGCACAACAAATTTCTGTACATGAAAAATTACAGAGATACTACATCTAAATCAAAGCTGAAGTATATCAATTTTACCAACAGAGTCACTTTATTGTTATCGCAGAGACAATGGTAAACAAGATGTTTTTTCGTGACATATAAGGATGTAGAGAAGATATTTACCTTGCACAAATCTCACCATTCTTTGTAAAATCTAGAACGTCCCTATTTAGTGGATATAATTTTGCCTTTTAAAAACTGGAACTAAATATGACTTCATTTTGTATCATGTAACTATCCAAAAAGATTTGTATAATGTAACTATTACTAGAATTTGTATAATACGACTATCAAATTGGAAACATAGATCTGACCTTCAATGTATTATTTGTCTATTAACATTAATCATTTCATTAAAATTAATTTTCAAGTTAATCACATGCATATATTTTACAAGACAATAAAATGTGTTTTAAGGTATTTTCATTCAAGATTCAAAGCACTTGATGTCCTATTAATTAAAACAGAAAGGTAACTACATCAAAAACCCATTAAAATGTTCCAGGACTATTGGTAATATATGAGTGAGAATTGATGATCAGGTTTGGTGTATTTACATTTCTAGATGTTTAGTTTATAGTTTCTAATTGAAACTGTTATTGTATGTAGTGTTGTTTTTTTTTTTTCATTGTTTACATATACATTGTAGTTTGCTGACTATGTACTTACTTCTGAATAATTTACATTTAATTTCATCTTTGCTGATTTTTAATTAAGTTTATATAGTGTTTGTATGTGATGTTCAGTGTCTGGTTATATCTTTTAGCTCTGTTTATGCTCAGTAATATTTTCACACACATTTACAGCAAATAAAAAAAATTTCCCTGAGCTAAAAAGTTTGCAAATTTACCCCAAATAAAGCAAAGATCAGGAATATTTGTGTGATTTCAAAAAGTCATCAGTACATTATCCTATACACTTTATAAAGGCAGAGACAGCCTATGAAATTCAACTAGATAAAAAAGAATACACAACTTGTGGTAGTTTCAAGTATCAGATACAGTTTTTATACATATGTATCACCCTGTTAATACACAATTATCTCCACAGTGTAAGCTTATTTTTTCATACAGAGAATAGAGCCAGTTCCATATGTAGGAGCTTGGGTTGATTTGCAAATATATTACACTTGAACTGAAAGGTAAAAATCTCAATCACAACGAGCTGAGAATGATCCTGTCCTGATCAAGTCCTCGGGGCGAAACCAGTAAATATATAGTAAAAATACACTACTCTTATCATCCTGAGCTTGATGCAATTGATTTTTACCTTTTAGTTCCGACTACTTTTCAATCGCCCGGCATACCTGGAAGTATCCAAGCTAGGGATAACAGAACCAACACCACAAGAAGTACGGCATTGGTTGTATTCCCTCCTGGATATTTACACTTGAACTGGGTACATCTTTGACCTCTGTACGTGGTATCTTTTGTTGGAAAACTGCCTATTGGTATTAAGATTTAAATAACTTATCAATTAATAATATTTTGAAATATATGGTTATACACAGTATTGAAAAGGTATGCTTATAGAGAATTTTTGCAGAAAAATGCTTTTTTATTTCATTTTACCGATCAGTGATACTCTGAAAACTTGAAAACGAGCAAACTACAAATAGAACCTTATCCAGAAATTAAGCTTGTATTTTCTTATTATTATAGAAATTAGCCACATCTTATTTTCAAGTTTTTAGGATAGTGTGTAATGGAAATTTAACCTTCACTCATTCACAGTACTGCAATGTTATATTACATGTATGATATAAGATAATATGTACAGGGTATTATTTCACCGTCAACAGGGTACTTGTATCGAAAATAAAATCCTACAGTGAATTACAATTTTTGTATATCTGGTGGGCCATTGTTCAGGATAATGTTGTCATTATTACAAATCTCATCTCACAAATAATTCTTACGTCCTGTTTCAAATCTCTACTATAAAATCATGAAATTCATATTCCTTGAATTCAGGGGTACTCTAAATTCACACATTTACTTGTTCACCATACACAGTATATGGATTATAGTAGTACATACAGTGGGGTTTGTGAGCAAGATATATCTATGAAATAAACAACGAGAGTGCCATTTTAGGTCAGCTGCGAAAAATCTGATGATGATCAATAGGGATCACTTCTGGCATCAATCAATTTATTCACAAAAAACTCTGAATTGGTTTCAAAGAAATTTTGCAGAAACTTTCCCTGACCAAAGATGAACAAAATAATGAATTATATGGTCCCCATCCCACAGGGCCCTGAGGGGCAGGGGTCTGAGGGGCAGGGGCCTGAGGGGCAGGGCTATAAGTGGGCAGATTGACTAGGATTTCACAAATCTTCTCAACACCCAGATATGGTAGAATAAAATGCCTTCATTGATGGAGGCATCTTTAGGTGTTTTACTCTTCCATTGGAACCCTTTGTGATCCTGGCTGACCCCCAGGGGCTGATGGGCTGGTCCAGGTATGGTAGAATAAAATGCCTTCATTGATGGAATCCTCTTAAGGTGCTTTAATTACCAAAGGAGATCGAAGGAAGTTGATTTTACTGTAATTCTCACAGAAAAATTGCATCTTTAAGCAAAATTGGAAATAATTTTGTAAGAATTGTTATTAGTAAAGGATGACAGTTTTGATGGTATGCAGGTATTGACACTGACTGACTATCATCAATGTCACAATTTCTTTTTCATGACACTTGAAAGCTACTTATCCTTTAACCTTTAAAATCAATATTGCTTATCTCAGGTGATCAGCAACGTCGCTAGGCCTCTTGTTGGAAAACCATAAAATGTAAGCTCCACGAAAATATATGATTTCAGAGTATATGTTAATTATTTCTTTATTCCTATTAATATTCTATACATTAAATATAATTACATCATATAATATCATATCAGATATGCAAATTAATGTCACTTTCTGGTTAATATCACATTTTCTTGAAAGAATGATTTTTACCCTATTTATATTATCTTTATATAGATTTTTACATTCAAGATCTGCTGGTTGATGTTCATAATTATATTTGTATCATATTTTTTTTGTGAGTTACAAATAGATATGTTTTTAAACCATATAATAGTTGATTGTTGTGAATGCAGCTTGGTCAGAAATATTTGTAACGTTATATTTCAGGCACTTTCACTTTTTTTGTCTAAAGTTTACCACGTAGATTACTCAAGGATATATTCATACAATGTACATTATATGTATGCTTCCTCCAATCAGCTAATAGCCTAACTTTCGGAAATCTTTTCCATCAATTTGAAAGTAATCATACATATTTGGTGGTGTTGAAATATATTGTGCCTTAAACTGTCACCACCCCATCCTTGGTTACATCCATATTGCATAAAGACTGCTGGGGTTTTATTTTAAAGTCATGATTGATCGCGTACTAGGAAGTCATGTCACTTTAAATTGGTAAACAACTTTACTGAAGTCAAGATTGATGGTGTCACTTCAATCAGGAATCAACATTAACAAAAGTAAACATTTATCGTGTACCTGGTACCTCACAAAATTATTGGAGACATTACTGAAATAACAAGCCAAAACTGACAGAATTATTGAGGATTTTACTGAAATTACACGGCACAACTGACAGAATTATTGAAGATTTTACTGAAATTACACGGCACAACTGACAGAATTATTGAAGATTTTACTGAAATTACACGACACAACTGACAGAATTATTGAAGATTTTACTGAAATTACACGGCACAACTGACAGAATTATTGAAGATTTTACTGAAATTACACAGCAGAACTTTCAGAATTATTGAAGATTTTACTGAAATTACACGACACAACTGACAGAATTATTGAAGATTTTACTGAAATTACACGGCACAACTGACAGAATTATTGAAGATTTTACTGAAATTACACGGCACAACTGACAGAATTATTGAAGATTTTACTGAAATTACACGGCACAACTGACAGAATTATTGAAGATTTTACTGAAATTACACGGCACAACTGACAGAATTATTGAAGATTTTACTTTACACGGCACAACTGACAGAATTATTGAAGATTTTACTGAAATTACACGGCACAACTGACAGAATTATTGAAGATTTTACTGAAATTACACGGCACAACTGACAGAATTATTGAAGATTTTACTGAAATTACACGGCACAACTGACAGAATTATTGAAGATTTTACTGAAATTACACGGCACAACTGACAGAATTATTGAAGATTTTACTGAAATTACACGGCACAACTGACAGAATTATTGAAGATTTTACTGAAATTACACGGCACAACTGACAGAATTATTGAAGATTTTACTGAAATTACACGGCACAACTGACAGAATTATTGAAGATTTTACTGAAATTACACGAAACTTATTGAAGATTTTACTGAAATTACACGGCACAACTGACAGAATTATTGAAGATTTTACTGAAATTACACGGCACAACTGACAGAATTATTGAAGATTTTACTGAAATTACACGGCACAACTGACAGAATTATTGAAGATTTTACTGAAATTACACGGCACAACTGACAGAATTATTGAAGATTTTACTGAAATTACACGGCACAACTGACAGAATTATTGAAGATTTTACTGAAATTACACGGCACAACTGACAGAATTATTGAAGATTTTACTGAAATTACACGACACAACTGACAGAATTATTGAAGATTTTACTGAAATTACACGGCACAACTGACAGAATTATTGAAGATTTTACT